GAAAAACAGCTACCGAGATATTTTAGGGTTATTATCCACTGATAATCAATCATTAAATGAAATGAAAGGATCTAAAATCGATAAATATTTTATATAGAACTTGTGTATCTCAAGTCTTACATGTTTAAAAATGGTTTTCAATTGACTATGAGGGTTTATCATTCCATTTTTTTTTGTTTTTGTCGATTAGAGTAAAACTCACTTCGGATTTTCAATTTTCATACGATCAGTCAGACCCAGTATCCCTTAATTGAGGGTGGCAAAGGTGGGTTTCAATCACACCACATCACGGAGAATTTTTTTAACCAATCACGCGTCACGTAAAAAAAGAGTAAGTACGCTAAGCTAATACTGTAAGATTTCAACCTATCGGATGTATTATCAAAAAATTGCATCTCACTTGTCATATTGCTTTTTGTTTGACAAATAAAAACGACTTAGTTGTTGAACCTAGACGCTCTGAGAGCGTTTACTCATCTGGGCATCCTATAGTCATCATAGTTTGAACACATATATGGCTAATCCCGCGAGAACTAGTATGAACTTTGCTAATTTGGAAAGACCAGAAAACAATAACACGGATGCCACGTTTTATTGATCTTCGTTATGACCCTATTTACTGTTGATGATTGGTATCCTTCTAGGTTAAAGGGCGTTCACTTATCACGGAATTCTAATAAGAAGTCTTGTAAATCACGCATCATGCGCTTGCAAAATAGCAAATCACGCATCACGTTTTGTTGTCCGGTCCCGCGTCACGCGGATAATTTGTGTTCAATCACGTGTCACGCTGCAAATTTTGGAGCCATCACGCGTCACGCAAATACCTTTTTCCACCCTCTTAATTCTTCTCTTTGGCCCGACTCAATCACACTTAACATCTTTTTTTCGCATGACGCAGATTGTACATTGCACGGGCATCTAGGACAGAAAGAACAACGGTAATCCGCTTAAAAGATGACAGATAATGACAAGGAAAAAGAGCCTGAGCACCAGTTTTAAGCGAGTGCTCTTCGAATTCAGTTAGTGTGAGTCATTGATCAATTGTTCAAATGTTTTAAAGCCCTCGATTGATTCTCAGACACTCACCTCTCCGATTTCTTTCACTCCTACAATTTATGGTTCAAGGATTTTCAACACAATTTCTAATTGAACGGAGCCGTCACAAGATCTTAAAATAATTGATACACACTTTCAAAAAATGTCAATCATTCATCTCGAGTGACTCTTTTCCAGAACGGAAGCACACTGTAATTTTGGATGAGATGGCTGCGGGTGATTATGTTTAAAAAAACTCTTCATCAGAGATCGATATGGCTAATTACTCGTTTCGTCGATTGGCATAGGTCCAATTTCCTAAGAGATGTTTTGCATTATAAAAAATATGCGTACATTATGTATAATCGAGTTTTATCAACCAACTAAATCCCAAAGTAACTAATTCAAGTACGAAAACAACTGACAACCTCATAAATAATAAAGGAGTGGAGTATTTGAACGAAGATTAAACTTGAGCTGTCATATTTTGCGTGATGTTTCCCCCATGTTTGAAAAATTCACTATGGCTGTTCGCTAGAGTTATAGCTGGTGTTTTCTGAGAACATGCTCTCTGTACTCTACTACTTCGTTGTCATTGTTTTGGCCTCCCTAATACCGAAAGGACAAGGTAAGATTTTACCACAGTTATGACTTTGTTATGGTTTGAGTATATTTCAATGTTTACCAAGGCGATAAATTATTTTTTCATTTCATATATTTTTTTGTTTACAACAACTGAATCTTAAAGTAATCGCATAAGCTTCTCCAACTAATATCAAATATAATTAATTATTTCATCTAAATTCAAAAAGGAGAGGCGCGTATTGGAGTATCTTAAAGCAAAGTTACCTTTAGAAGAGAAAAACACTCACTGTCTCTTCAATGAATTGAAGTCTAGAGACGTGTTCGACTTTTTTGATCATGCACGATAGATGAGTTGAGAGGCTCATCTAAACTCAACCAAAATGGCTTGTCTTGTTAAACTTAAAACTTTACACTGGAGTAAAGCTTTTAAATTCTTGGTAAAGAAACCTTTTAGTTCGTCACAGCGAGCAACATAACGCACTTAATCGTGTTATCTGTGGAAAAACCTGATTTTTTTTTACAATCTGGCTCCAAAGTTGATCTACTTGTTGGTTGATATTTGAAAAAACCTAAATCGAAGACTGAATTCGTGTATTCGAGCGAGTTGGTAGAACTATGGCATAAATTATTTATAATCCACCGCAGAAAGGATGTTCTTACTTAGCTTGAGAAAAAAACAGGTGGTTCAAACAAAAGATTTGATTAACAAAGACGACAGTTGACAGTTCAGGATTTTCCTCATATCGTCCGCAATTATGCCCTTATGGTGTGTTTGCTCAAGAATGAATTTCAGCGTTTCGCCTTTTAGTGATCGTTAATGCACAGTATGCAGTGAAAACTTTTGTTACATCCTTAGAAGTAGAAAGTAAGGACCTAAATTGCGCACCATGGAGTTGATAAAGTTAAGAAGCTCATGAGTTTTGCGTGAACGACCAATTTTGTTTTCTTGCGCTTTTCATAATTGATACGCAGTTTGGTCGAAAGCTGAAGTCACGCGACATAACAACAACTGCCTCTCATGAATTGACACAATAAAAACTTCACGACACGTTCCGATAATAACCCTTTTTTAAAGAACCAAGCATGCTCAGACGAGAGGACCATTATCACGTGATAAACACGATTCACTCTATGTAACAAAAAAGGTCTTTATGGATTTGTGCAACAATCGTTCGATCACGATAGCTGATCGCAACCAAAGGCAGATAACATGATAAGTAGATTATTAATATAAATCACTCTCTTGGTGCTAAACCAAAGCAAAAAGTCAGCAGTAACACTGCTCTACAATTCCAGTCTCAGCAGAGGGGCTCAATGTGACATAGCAACTTTCTTCATATAATTGTTCACCAGGCGACTGCCGCAATTTGCAGTTTACCAGTTTTCCTAAACCTGGCTACAGGTTGGAGAATCACACGGTTCGAACTATTGAAGTATTCGACGAGGTTCTCTGCAAGTTACAATGCTATCTGGAACCTAACTGTGTCAGTTATAACTTCCATAAGCTAAGACAGGCGTCTGGAACACACAAGTGTGATCTGAATAACGCGACCATTGAACACGATGGAGAACTGGTAAAAAACGAAAGTTACATTTACCGCGGAGCTGAGGTGAGGATGACGTTTTTAAGCCAAGAGTATCAGACTTTATACTCGTTGAAGCTTTTTTACAAGACTAAGACTAAGCATCCCTCAGCCTCTGCCACTCCTCTAAATTCTCCTTCCACCCACCAGAATATAGGTTACGATAATTGAACGTTTAAAATGTTGAAATAAAGAATTAAGAGAGGCATACTTTGTTATTTGAGAATGACCGGTTCTGGAGCTTTTTTTATACATTTATAAGATACACGGAGATTTTGCTCTCGCTTTGAACAGTGCCACGCTTGGGACGGGAACAAATGTGCTCAACACAAACATTTGCGTAAATAACAAAAAAGCTTGCGCGAAATACATGGAGATGAGGGAAGACGCGCAGATTTCACAAACATGCATAACATTCAGAACTCGCAAACATGAATACACGCGCAGAAGACAAGCACAAAAATTAAAGTGGTCATATTCTTTTTCTTCTTAAGAATGCTTGCGTCAGTAATCCTTGCAGAAATAATGCAACATGCCAAGCTGGCTTTACACACAGAGATTATCAGTGTTTGTGTGCTTTTGGATCTGGGTTTGAAGGTCACGATTGTGATAGAGGTGAGGAATCCTCTAAATTTTTTTGTAGTCAGTAAAATGAATGTGTGGCCATTTCTTATCTGACAACGGGGAACGCTAGCATGGAGGCAAAAACACTTGCAGCCAGAGCACGTCAAATACGCATAAACCCTTATATAAATGTGGCGCTCATTTTGTTTTCTCAGACATAGATGAGTGTTCTAGTGAAACAAACGGCTGTGATGAGAATGCGGAGTGTAACAATACCCTGGGATCTTACAAGTGTATCTGTAAAGATGGATTTCATGGAAATGGAACTAACTGCAAAGGTAATTTAGTTGTATCAAGTGAGTTGATGACGTCAAATAGGCCACTATTGCGAGTTTAAAATCTGAAGTCCTTCGTCAGAGCAAATGGGGGAATTGTGGGTTGTGTGTCTGTTTATATGCAGAATATGGAGTTACACGGGAACGTGGTAACGAGAAAATTAGAATAAAGTAGCTGACTATAACATCCCAAAAATCTACTAAAGCAAACAAACGAGAAAACAATAAAACCACAAAACACGAGATAAAAACATAAAAAACAGATTCCGTACAAAAGATGCCTCTTTTTTTGATTCTCTAGACTTGGACGAATGTGCTGACGGAACACACAACTGTGATGTGAATGCTGAGTGTTACAATACCCTGGGATCGTACAACTGCACGTGTAAAGATAGATTTCGTGGAAATGGAACCAAATGCACAGGTAACTTTTTCTAACAAATCATTCTATCTTTTCTCTCCTTATTTTTTTGGTGTACATAGCACCAGACCTAAACTTGCACAAGAGTGTAATGTCCCTAATTTCTGTGCGGTTTTCTACCGGCAGCAGGCCCAGAAGTACGAGCCCATCAGTATAAGAGACATCACTCGGTGGGTGGTTAGGAATAAACTTAGTTGGACACCTTTGGATTTTCTCAATTAATGCTCCATGTATGACTGTATAATAAAGACCATAGGCAGGAGCATTATTCAAGTTTGGGTCTGACCACAGGACAGCACAGTAGCTTCCTTATCTAGACGTCATTGTCATCCCGGAGACTCGCCTGATTCGCGAAGGGTTTTGTTGGCCTTTGAGGTTATTTCTCCTGCATGCTCTGCCCATTGGAGATCACGGGAATCAGTGATGCTTATGTCTTAAGCTTAAGGTACACACTCGAGCGCTGTCCATCAAGGTCAACCAGGAGTTTTCTTCTTAAAGATGTGAACGGATTTGCGTTTTGCGGCGTTGAAAGCTATGCAGCTTGGTGAATTCACCAGTTTCTTAGGAGTTACAAGCAAGATTGACGGCATATTTGCGGTTGAAAGTAGATTCTATGTTCATTACCAGAGCCAGTGCGAAGATACCGTTATGAAGATATAGTTATTAATGGGTTCGGAAGAAAATAATCAAATTAGTCAGTCTTGCTTGTTAGTGGGATTTTCTGGAGAGTTTTGCTTCGTTATCTTATTATGCCGAATTAAAAGGAATATTTGTTGTAAGTGGTAGTGTGCAATACTGGCAGTAACCAAAACAATTTGACAATTTCTTAGCAGTACCATAACTTTCCTTTTCATTTTGCGATTATTATACAGGATTTACAGCAGTGTTTACAACTCTTGGTAACAGTGGGCGTAAGGGTCCACTCCAGATTGGAAATCACTACTACACAGGTCAGGATCACGACGGGCAAGTTACATTGTCCAGCGGTATTCAACAATGGACTGTGCCACACACTGGCGAATACAGAATAGAAGCAATAGGAGCCTCAGGGGGGTACGGTGAGGACAGCATCATCAAGAACGGTGGAAAAGGGGCACGAATGATTGGAAACTTTATTTTGACCAAAGATGAGATCATTCATATACTTGTTGGCCAAAAAGGGAAAAAATGGGAGTTATCCCCAAAAACTGCTGGAGGTGGTGGAGGTACATTTATTGTGAGACGAAACAACACGCC